TCCAAACCCGATGTGGCTCATGCACTCAGAAGATGAAGGACCCTGTGGGGAAAGATGTTGAGTTTCTTCCAAAGCTTGGATTTGTTTCCCTTCACACTACACATGTATATATCCCTAGCTAAAAGCCCCCACATGCTTGAGCAACTATTTTGCATACAACAGTCGCTTTATATGGTTACATATATATAGTTCTATAATGTTCTATATATCATATGTATATGTGTTAGTTCCGATATTTGAGGAAACCTACAATAAGCCCGGCCCCCTCTCCAGGTGTTCTGTTCTTCGCTTTGCTCGGAGAGCCGGCTCGTGAAAGAAGAATTGGGGACGCACGTTTGGCAGGTCATGAAGGAGTTGAAGCAGACGAGTTACAAGCCTTCCAGTGTGATCTTGGGATCTCGACAGCTCGGAACCCCGTAAAGGGTCGGATGCGGTCACCGACAGGGCAGCCCTCCCAAAGAGGTGTCGCGTTGATTATTCTCTCTGTTTTCCAGGACTGGTTGAAGGCTTGTCAGGGGTGTAGCAATCCCAGAGGTTGTGTCGAGATGGTTCAGCTTGGATTGTCCATCAGTACAACTGATCAAAGGCATTGGAAGAAGCAGGCACGAGACTTTTGGTAGGGTTCGATTACGGTGTTGAAAGAACAACAAGTAATTACATCGTACAATTGATGTAGAATGGATATATGTTGGAACGCTGCAAAGTGCAGCGGCGCGCCAGCCACGCTTTCGCCACCCTGGACCCACTGGATCGAAAGGGTCCATTTGTTTCGTGGCATACGCCGCAACACCCAAAGGGGTATGAGCCTTAAAAGAACGACCGTCGTTTGAGTGTTGCTCGCTTTGCTCGTTGGGAATACTTGGCGAAAGCGTATAGAAAAGAAGCTTTTGATGCAGTTCTTGGATGTTGGATACATTCCTGTTCTCCGTCTTCCTTCATTCTCCTCCACGTTCGTAACTCAGGGCCCAAACACTGTACGAACGAACCTCGTTGGAAGCTACGAACCCTCGCGTTGGCGGACCGCGGCGGACCGCGGCGGACCGCGGACCGAGGCACTTTTGCCTCCACAGCTCGGTGATGCGGCACAGCGGCGCACGGCAGAACGCCCTGTGTCGCCGTGCGGTGGATGCAGCACCCTCGGCAAATCCCAGAGAGAAGCGAAAAGAAAAAGCAAAGAAACAAACGAGTGGTTCCTGGTTTCTGTGGTTTCCCAATACTCTCGTTGTTGGTGTTTTCTTTTGGCGTGGAAAAGAAAGATGGTCTTTGGAATCTCTGGCAGATCAACGACAATCTGTTTGGGTCGGCGAGAGAGTTTGACGTGATGTCATGCTTTGCGGACAGAACAGATGAATGTCATGTAGCAAGACCGACCTCCTCATTCTTCCGACCAGTCCGACCAAAAGATCAAGACATGAATTCCTCCGAGTCAGACACCCCGTCTCGCAGCGTGCGCGTGTGACCCTCATGTGATTGACGAAGGTGCTCATCAGATCCCCCACAACGGGAGATGAGCCCAGATCGTCTCGCCCCGTTTTGCGGAGACGTGTGAAATCGATCGCAACAAGGAGCACAAGTGCCCATTCTACATTGGTTTTCGAAAGTGCGGCAGCAAGGTCCGGAGCCCTAGAAGGCCCCCCAGCAGGTCGTTTTCAGAGTGGTTCATGACATGGCACCAACGGGTGCCTTCTCTCCCTGTGATGAATTGATTCATGTAAGAAATCGACCAGATGACCAGATGCTGATGACCGACCTTTGGTTTCTTGTCTAAAAAATAAAATCCGAACGTCTTGGCAGCGAACTCGCTCAAAACGTGCGACCCACCGCCCAATGGCCCCCCCTGAGCCGCACTGGATGGAACGCTCGTAGATGGTGGATCCCCGGAACGGCACCCGCGACCGACCAGTGAAGCCAACGGCGGTTGCGCAACACCGGCACGCCTTGATACTAGCATCCTTGCTACAGAACCGGAGACAGCGAGAGACCCAACCAACCTAGCACAGCTGGAGGGCTGGACATCACTAGAGCCAGCACATCTAGACACAAACGGAGACAGCTGGCCCTAACAAGCCCACCAGAGAGCCAGAGACTGTCGGAGAGAAGCGGGAACCCTACAGAGGCACAGCGAACAAAGGAGTTGGGGAACCCCTCACAGGTAAACCTGTTTGGGGAACGAATGAGAATGAGAAAAGGTCGGACTCGTGCAGGGACAGGTCCTCCTGTTAACCACTCTTCACTTGACGTCTCAACGTGGCCCAGAGGGGCAAAAGGAATTGTGTGTTTTCCTCGGTTCCTTTTCCTTCTCCTCTTCGTTTTCTTTCTGTTCGCCAGCGAAGAAAATGCAAGAAAGAATGCGGCAAGTCTGTTGTTTTTCAGTTACACTGAGACAAACCACTACCATGTCTCCGACAATCGGGTGCTACCAGCCCATCTGGATCGGTACCTTGCATATGGCAAAGGATTGTGGTATAGATCAGAGTACATCATCAACCGCGTGCACATCAACTGTGCTATGCGTGAGATTAAAAAAAATCAGTTGCCTCCCACTGCACCTCTCTGGCTACGCCTATACTGGTGGAGGTTCAAAGACCATTCGTGCTTGGACCTGTGTCGGGAGCTGACAGATTTCTCCAGACCTGAGGATGTAGCTTCGCAGAAGCTCGTGACAGCTCGTGGTGCCGATGAGCATCGGTTGCGATAAAGGCAAAGCATTCCTACCCGAGAATTCAGATGCAAAAAGGTTCACCAATTGGGAATCCGAATTTTCCAGCTGCATCGCACAGACAGCCTTGAGGGCGCGGAGATCTTCGTTGGATGGACCCACTTGAATGCGACTGTCGTTGAGGAACCCCCCACTCACGACCGAGGACAAGAGTCCCTTGCTGAAATGCCACCCTTGCGCACACACTTCGGGGCTCTCGACACTCTAGGCCTTGCGGAAGAGGAGACGGACGAAGGCGGAATCCAGCTTCATTCGAGCGCGTCGAATGCCTGCGTAAAACTCATGAGGTGACCATGCAAAGCGCCATGCTACGGATTGGGCGAAAAGGGAAGGGAGGAGAAGCACAAGGTTGCACATCCATGATTGGGAGGACCTGATGGCACAGTTGGGAGCTGCAGACATCAGAAAGACACTAGATATGACAAGACTGACAAGAGGTTGAGAGTGTTTGGACTGGAAGGATGGATCTGATGTTGGCAAAGTATTTTTTGATGTTTGTTGTGCTTGCGGCTTCTTATTGCAATTCGTGGCCGGGATTTGTTGGGAGTGGCAGGCGTGTCGCATGGCTGGATTGATTTGTAATTTATGGATGACGAACTAACATTGAAAGATCAGATTCACTACTGTTGCAAAGATCTGTGACAGCGAACTGCAGTGAACCTGGGCTTCTTTTTAGGGACGTTTGTTACTAATCAATTTCTGGGTTCAGTGCTGTCAGGTGCGCGCAACTCACAGCAGTATATGTTGACCTTTTGTATTCAGTGTTACGATGCTGGCATCAGTCCATGCCGCCACGCCCATTTCAGCTGAAACTGCGTTTGCAATGAGTTATCACGTGCGTGCCGGCGTTTGGTCAGAGTATGGGCGTTTTACGAAGGTCTTCCCCTCAAAGCCGCCATCGAAGCACTTGAAAACAGCACAGGTCCACTTGAACCAATCATGTGGCTGTGGGTCAAACGTCAGACCCACGATGAGCTATAGTAGTTATGACTTAGTTCTGTCAAAATGTTACCGTCTGTTTTGTTATTTGCACGGTTCCTTTACTTTGCTTCAGGTCCCGGTGATGTTTTGATATTTTTTTGCCCGGGTCCCTTTCGATGAGGTCTCCACCGCGGTGAAAGACATTGAGGAAATCGTCGAAAGCTGCCACTGGACACGACACGAAGCGTTGTGATGTAGTTCGGGACACGAAGAGTGCCACGAAGAGTTCTGCGTGGAGTTGGTCGGCTGAACGACTTGGAATAAATAACAAGAGGTCTGTGCAAAGGACACGCAAAAAATGGATGGTCTTTACAATAAATAGCGTGGGTTGTGGGACATGGTCGAAACTGGAGGCAGTGGTTGGTGGTTTGTACTGCTTTGCGTGACCTTGCGGTTGACTAGAGGTGGCCCTTGCAGTGTCTTTGCTGTCTGTTTTGCGCATCAGTTTCTGGGGAATTCAGAATCAAAGGCTGCATGGTTTGCATGAAGAGGGGACTTCTAGGCGCCATCTCTAACTTCCATGTTCTGTATTGTGGTGGTCAGGCTCCAAGTGGATCTTGTCCAGAAATCTTTAATCTGTCAATGTGGTATTGTGCCAACGACGTGGTTTATAAAGGTTTCTGGTGGGTATCCTGTGGGCCATTTATAGACGGAGATCAAGAAGGGACCATGGGAGAGGACATGTGGAAAACAGGAATGGGGTTGAATCGCACCAGCCTGGTGAGGATCAAAAACTCTGCACAACTCTGCAAATAGAACCCTGTAAAAGACGTGTGGGAGAAAAAAAAGAAAAAAAGAGATTTTTGTACGAGTCGAGGCGCTATGTGTGCAGGTTATGCACAAGTCACCTAATGAAAAAAAGAAGAGAAGAGAAGAGAAAGAACAAACGAACGAGCGAAGGAACGAAAGATAGATAGCTAACGAGAAGATGATAAAGCACCACTAAGATCCACTAAACACGTTTAAGTTTTGGATGTAACTGCCCCTTGCAACAAGGATCGCTTTGAAGAAGAGGTCAAGCAAAGTCTTCCACTTGTTCCTAGTAGCGATGCACCTGTTTCTAGTAGCTTCTTGTTACTACTAGTAAGGCACTTGTTCCTAGTAGCGTGGCACTTGTTTCTAGTAGCTTCTTGTTACTACTAGTAAGGCACTTGTTCCTAGTAGCGTGGCACTTGTTTCTAGTAGCTTCTTGTTACTACTAGTAAGGCACTTGTTCCTACTAGCGTGGCACCTGTTTCTAGTAGCTTCTTATTACTGCAAAAAAACGCCTTTGCCCAAGAGATTTCGTCACTTTGCCGAGGCAAAGAGTCCACTGTGTGCCCGTACTTCAAGGCGCTGTCGCCGGAAGACTCGTCCATCCGATCTGGACGGACGACCCGTGTGTTCTGGGTCCCTTCTGGGAGGGAACGATACATAGCGGGCGACACAAAAGGTCTGATGACCTCCAACCCTCCAAGCTCCAGGTCACGAATTTCGGAAAGGCCCATCCAGGACCATTGCTCAAGCCTGTTGGCTGCATCTTCAAGACCTCAACCTGGCCAACGCGAGGTGCGTGAAGATGCCAAAGATGCGGAGTTGCTCTTGTTGCCCTATGACTACTTGATAGGCCAAGGAACCAGAGAGTCCTTGCAAGTGGCTAGCCCGCAGGGAGTAGCTGGAGAAAGCGAAGATGTTCTGCAACCAGCCGCTGGTACGGATTCTGGTACAACGAAAGTGGCTAGACGCGGATCCAGCAGCTCCAGTGATAGAAGTTCCTGGTGAACCCTCAATGAATTATGATTTGTTTCTTTATTCATTCCAGCTGAAGTCTTGCTCTTCAGTCGAAGTCGAAACCTCTCCAGTCCTTTGATTTTCAGAGAACACCAGATCGTCACCGAGTCACCCTCGCAAAACCCGATTGCAACGTACGTATTCGGTGAGGACCCAACAACGGGTGTACGAGTCAAAGGGAACCCGCCAGATGACAGATGAGACACAGGGTTGTGCAGCTTGCTTTTGTTGACTTCTGAGTCAGTAAATGGTCCGAAGATCGCTGAAGACGGAATCTTTGTCATGTTTTGTCCTTGCTTGGCTTCACGGTTGGCTTGCCACAGGTTCAGATGTTCAGGATGTTCCAAAATGTCCTGACTTGAGGTTTCTTTGAAGAACAGCATCCTAATATTTGATGAAGGCCACAACATCGAGCAGCTTGGCAAAGATCGATGTGAATATGAAGAGTGATCGCCCCACCACAAACCAGTGTCCCAAAGAAGGCTGTGGCTAAGCCTCACCCCCCGTTTGGAACAGATTCCAAACATCACAGGCAGACGTGAACATCAACTCCATTCTTTTGATACATGATATATCACGATACATGATTGGAGTTGATGTTCAGGCACATGATACAATCATGTTGATGTATCAGGCACCTTGATACATCAATTCCATACATGTTGATCCCTTGATGCATCTGTTCACCAAGACAGGAGTCGGCACGCAGGCGGAAGTCGCCGCACGTGTGCGCACACGAAGTCGAGGCGATCCTGTGAGGAAAACGCCTCCTTTGAGTTGACCCAGGCGCGGTGATTTTTCCCGCTCCTACTTAATGAAGTAAGGGAGTAGACTTACTAGCAAAAGGAAGCTACTACATATGGGCGCAGGATTGCTCATGCTTCTTCAAGAAAGCTACCCCCGCTTGAGGGCCGGGGGAGCTTCCTCGAAGAAGCGCACTAATGATTTGGTTCCTAGAAAATTTGGTGGAGCTGGCGCTGGCAGAGTAGCTTCCCAAAAAAAAGGAAGCATGGTCGACTGTGAAGCATCAACGGAGAGGGTCAAGCAGTAGAGAGTTTTTTACTTAACTCTCCCAAAAAGCTGGTGTCTCAACAAACATAGAGATGAGAAAGGAAAGATTCAGCACATCCGCAGATGTTACTAGCCCTGTGATCGGCCGTCCAAATTCTGACCACACCCAGTGGATCAGCAGTTGCTGCGTTGTTTCATGTTCTCTCATGTTCTTTCATGTTGAATCCCAAAGACCTCTGGGTCACATCACCTATCCTCACAAGAAGCGGAAAAAACTGAGCTATGGCCTCCAACCCACTAGCGATGGCGTCCAACCAACTAGCGACTGAGACATTGAGAAATCATCGATCTATCATGAACTCAACCTGATCCAACCGACGAATACCTGGACCAGGAACTTCACCCATCCTCCACTCCTTCCGTGTGTCGAGTCTTCCATCGTGGCGCCAGGCAGACATCGCTGGTGCCATCGGGGAGCTGGAGGTCGGGACGGTCGCTGGCGATGCGTTGGGGGAGAAATGATAGGAAGACCTGGTCATCAGCTGGTCGGGTCGGGTGGGTTTGACTGATGAAGACTAAAGGAACATCATGACACATCGGTACATGGCTTTGTTGGTGGGTTCAAAGCTAATCCACCGACTTCGAGCGAAAAGGAATATGCCGAAGCGTCATCCGCATGTGCATGTGATGACCAGTGACTGATTTCCGGTCACTCTAGCTTTGGGTCTGGGACTTCAGCGATGGCCTCCAACTTAATAGCAAACTGTATTAGACGGTTCTTCCTTTGCTTTTTGTTGTGTCTAATAGCGATGGAACATCGAACCTCGAAGCGGCATTTTTCCTGTCTTTGTGTTGGGCCTTCACCAGATCTTCCTCTAGGAACAAGAAGCTACGAACGTAGCTCCTGGCATCGCTAGGAGCAAAGGGCATCGCTACGAACGGATCAAGGACGCTCCTAGGGGCTCCTGGCATCGCTACTAGTAACAAGAAGCTACTAGGAGGAAAGGGCATCGCTACTAGGAACAAGAAGCTGCTTCGCAGAGATCACCAGGATGCCTTCGACCTGGTGGAGCAAGGCCAGGTCGATGAGGAAGTCCTGAAGGACTGTGCCTCCACCAACGCGTGAGGCAACGGGTGTTGATCTGAAAGAAGCGGGAAAGGGGCGGACTTCGGTAGAGCTTTCGAACGAACAAATCAAGAAAGGATGTTTGCAGTTCTTCATGCAGTTTTCATGTCCATTGCAGCGGACTTCATGTTCTGCGTCCCGTCCGGTGAATACAGTTATTGCAGAGTTGTGGAGTCGATTTCGCTGCTCAAAGGGACCATAAACAGCCTTTGGATGACGTCGCAGGCGAAGAATAAAGGACTCAATCGACTAGGCCGTGGAGAGAGTAGCCCTAGACCCCTGGTGACGGTGTACACGGAGCAGCTCGTGTCCGATCGTTTTTGGTTTGGACCCGCAGCTTCGTTGTTGGAGCAGGTTTGACAGGTGGGGTCCCGGAGGTTCAAAGAAATGATGGGGAGGACAATCCTTTGGACATCGGAACTGTTGCCATAGATCCGGGTTTCTCTCAGACACGCCACACCGTAGGACATGCCGTGCGATGCCTTTTTGCACCTGGGATTTGATCCAATCTTGCGCGGCTGTGGAGGGGGGGCGGTTGTGAGCCGCGACAGTGTCCCAAGAGACCTGGAACATTGTGGAACATTGTGAAAATAGAAATCAAGAGATCCCCTTTCAAAGGACGTGCGCTCTTCCAAACCCTTTCACCCTCATGATGATGCGGTACCATCAAGAACAGTTGGCCGGACCAGTTGACACCGTTGTGCCATGTAGTGCCATTGGACTCGAAATGCTGGTGGTTTGGGCCGCAAGCAAAAGTTGTGCCGAGTTATTCCAACCTTGACAACTGTGAGGTATGTAAGCAGCCAGTGGGTTTTGGTGCACATGGGGCGTTCTTCAGCTTTCAGCGTATCTGATAGCCCAGGAAGCTTCAGCTTTCAGCTTATCTAATAGCCCAGGAAGCTTCTGAATCTGGTGAAGAAGCACCTGTTTGCTTTGGAGGATGCCATCTCAGAGGAGAAGTTGGAGAAGGCAGGAGAGAGTCAGAGAAATTTGGTGGTAGGAAGCTACTAGGGGCTCCTGGCATCGCTACTAGGAGCAAGGACGCTACTAGGGGCTGGCCTTACTACTAGGAACAAGAAGCTACTAGTCTGGAAAGGACCACAAGAGTTGAGGAAGACCATCGACTCCACCGCTTGGAATGTTGTACCGCATGCAGTAGGCCTGAGATATAGCTGGCCCTCATTCCCATTTTTTGCCAGATCCTGTCTATGCATCCAAGAAAGCATAGAGCATAGAGCATAAGGCACTTGTTCCTAGAAGCGATGCACTTGTTTCTAATAGCGTCCTTGTTACTACTAGTAAGGCACTTGTTCCTAGAAGTGATGCACTTGTTTCTAGTAGCGTCCTTGTTACTACTAGTAAGGCACTTGTTACTAGAAGCGATGCACTTGTTTCTAGTAGCTTCTTGTTACTACTATGAAACAATCCGAAAGTCATCCCAGATCTCCCAAGCTGCGAATGATGTGGCACCACAGACTGTGGCACAACTTTCTCGTCGTTTGAGGACGCAGTGACCGAGCGAATGATGCGGAAGGCTCCCGGTAGCCGAGTGCTCGCGCTTTTGTCCAAGCCCGGGCAGAGAGGCATCGCCACTGAGAAGGAGGACCCTTTTGCGCAACTGCAGCGACAAAACGATCGGATGCGGAAGACTTGCGGTGGTTGGGTGGATGAGACTGATGGAGGGAAGCGAGGGGCATGGCGATTATGATGGACCGGCGGACGCATGTTCGACTTTTTGTGGGCCAAATCAAACCAAGAGAAGGCCGAGCAACTCCAATGGTGAGTACCGATTTTAGACCTAGCAGTGGGAGACCTCCAATTCAGGAGCTACGATACTCTGTGTTTGCGCAGTCCAAAGAGTGCCTCCAAAAAAATAGCTTCTTTACAAGTGCCACACTACTAGGAACAAGTGCCTTACTAGTAGTAACAAGAAGCGAACGTAGAAACAAGTGCATCACTTCTAGGA